AATTTTTGCGGTCGATGCAACATGCGTAATATTCCCGGGTTCTTTTCCTCTCCCCCTCGTTTAAAACTAAAGTCCATTTAGCGATCCATAATTAAGAGCGTTCCAATTACTCCGGACTACGCAGAAAGTATGAATTACAGTTCGTCGTAAAACACCGAGCCCAATTTTCATTATCAGATACGCGGCGGGCATGATTGAACGGGTGGAATTTTTCGATTCGACGGCTAATGCAAAAGTGGGTGGCCTTTTCGGAATTAAATGAAACAACTGCTCGCGCGAGCGTACACAGAAACGACACGGCGTCAAACGCAAAGCGAATTTGTAAAAATTCCTAGCCGAATAAAAATGCTTTTGTCAGCGTTACAATCATAGCGGAAACATATCGACGCAATTGTTCGCCATTTTGAACGGAATATTTGCACATACATGTTGCAAAGTTTGTTAACGCGTATCGATCACGAGAAAAACAGTGTTTTTTCTTGTTTTTAATTGTTTCGTTCAGCTTATCTTAAACGATGATTAACCCTTTGCACTCCGGAATTATATTTCTATTTTGTTACCAGCAGCTCTCAACAAAAAAAAAATTATTAATAATTATGTATAATAAAAGTGATATCTTAAAATGAAACACAATGAAATTCTTATGAAATAGCCTTATGGTATAAAAAAAGTTAATTTTTAGTTGGATAATAAGAATTGACTATAGTGATATTTTAAAATGAAATTACTCGATCGAGTTGAGTGTTTTATTTGAAATTTACCTGTTGAAATATCTGTTTTATTTACACTGTTGTTGCATTTTGTAATTTTCAAGATATCTCTTTAGACTGGAACTCGACAAAGGAGCTCCTGAGATAAAAAATAGGAGTGCAAAGGGTTAAAGGTTGCTGGTCGAGTTTTGGGCAAATGTACGAGGAATCGTAAGTTCGAGGGGAGCAGGCGTTAATTGGTAATTGAAATTCTTGAAGTTAAAAGTGTGAAGTAATCCGGGGTATAAACCCCAAGCAGGTACAAGCGTTAACAACATGCCGTAGGTGCAGTTTGCATGGGAGAATGTAAGTGTAAGCCGTTGCAGAGGGAAAATGAGACAGCTGATAGGTTGAGCCGACAAGGCTTACTGTCGCAGAACAGAAAAACATTTTTCCTCTTGGCAAAACCTCGGCTGCAAACCTCTCGAGTGCTACTCCTCTCAGTTAATGCCGGTGCTAGCTGGGTGCGTGTGCACGCTTCGACCAAAAGGGTGGGGGCGTGTGTTTCCGCGAATCAATATCGGACGTTATGGATGTTGTTTTTAGTCTCTTGGTAATACCATGCAAAAATCTTGACGTCTGAGAGCCGCCGCGCATAATCGAAGAAGCGTGCGAACCAATGTGACTCTAATCCCGGGGAGCTATAAAACACGAACGCGACCTACACCAGCTCATTCCCCAACGAGCTTTCACATTTTATACGCCAAATATAACGCGTCTAAATTAAACGAATTTCTCACGATTAATTGTTCCCTTAGATTTTCAATTTCGATGAATTTCCATACGAATCCAAACAGTCGTATCTCCAAACACACGTGACAATTGAGCTTCCTGTTACTGTCTACACTGATTTGAAATTCTAAACTAATTACTGCCGTTCGTTATCACCGTAAGCAATTGATATGTACATCGGGACTCATCGTTTCATAATTGTCAGTAAAAGTACATAACGTTATCGTTGAATTATGGTTGTCATCGTGACGCGTGCGCTAATAGCTTGTTGCATTTAGCAACAAGACATTAATAATTCTGATACCAACTCAAGATAAACTATTATATCAGAATTTCTACGTAATTCTTAATAGCAACGATTTATGGAATCTACTAAAGATTAAAACCCCCATAGAGAGCACACGTGGTGCGGACATGGGTCATTAAAATGAAATATAGCCTTCATCGTTCCTTTCCAACATATGAAAATGACCAACTGCTTGACATACTAAAAGAAACCGTATGTGTGATTGATTTTACAAGTTTAAACGGGAATTATAGAATTTCTGACTTATTTATCGAGCGACATATGGCATATTTGGCACATGTGGTACACGTGTAATACGGAAGAGCGCGTTGTAAGTTGGTGCCAATTTAACATTTTGGTAAAGAGAGTAAAACAATAGCTGGGAAAGTGGAACGCGTAAATTTTCTTACTTTGGCACTGATTTCGATCCTTTTTCCCCCCCGGAAAGGAATTTTCATTTTAAGTCTAAGAAAATCAAAAGAAATAAAACTGAAAACGGTGCGAAAAAGGTGCAGTTCGTCTCGAAGGGTACGTAAGACCGAAAGTAACGGTAAACCTGGCATTTTTAGCGCGCGGGATGTAGGTCGATAGATTGGTCGACTGACATTGAAACGCTTAAGGGTGGAAAAGCTGGTTAGTGTATTTTCTAAATCGGTTCGCTGGCGAAAGATCCGGAAAGTATGGCGGATGAGGCAAAACCTGCCAGTCTAACTTCGCAATCGTCTGTCGCGTGATTCGCGTGGTATGGGAACTTCCATTGTCCCGTAGCAACAAAGGGTCCTTTCAATTGAAGAGAACAGGTTGCGTTTTCCAGAGTTTTTTCGTGAGTTCGTTGTAACATGACGCTATAAATCTCCGTCGTGATAGCTTCGCTTTCGTTTATAGCCTACGATAAATTACCCCTTTCGCTGTTCGAGCGCCCCAATCAACGAAATCTTGCGACGAAACTTGACTCGAGGTTGTTACATTAAAATGCAATCAAACGCGACGGAATACCTTTACATTTGGTATAAAATTCTAATCAGTATGTAAATGTATTTAAACCGAACGCTATCCGCGAGTCTCGTTAAGAGATAAATCTGATGCTTTGGTTTCAAAGCTCGGGCAAAAAATAGGTAGAAAGAATCTTGTTTTTCCCCCGTTCGAGAGAAATATTTCTTCTCTAGGTCCGCTTTGTCGGCGTAGAAAAGTCACGATAGAACGAGCAACGAATCCCCCGCGGGCTAGATAATTGAGAAACAGCCATCGGTCGCCGTAAACCTTAAAATGGAAAAATACGCAGTGGCTCCCGGTCAGTTTTGCAGGAGCCTTTCCGCACACCGACCGGAAATAACTCACGATCGCGAAATCTGCCGCCTACAAGGGGATATTTCAACCGAGGCATGGCGATAAATCGGCTGACTTATTATCGGGTATAATCTTCCCGACTGAGAGAAGAAATGTACGAGCTTCTACCTCGGCGAATATACACTCTTCGCGAGAAAATACTGTACAGTCGTATTAACATTCCTTTTAGCCTTATCTTTTCCGGCTGTTCCGCGTTATACGTTTACGGAATGGTAAAAAAAGGTACAGCGAGTGTACCAGGTGGAGTAATATCTCGCTAATAGGGCTGGTTCGCCATTAAACGAATAACGCCTTATATTAAGTCTTTTTCCAAACGATTTACGTTCACGCGTTCGGGCAAAGTAAAAAACGATGCATTTACCACTCACGGGCGAAGCGAAATGCGGTTTCCTCGTGGCGGCATATCGATTCGAATCGTAGCCTGTAACGAAGTGAAGTGAGACTGATTTCATTATACGCTACACTGTCACCGAGCGTGCTAGTCGTAATCATGATTGACGAGACGATGTATTATACACGTTAGCACGACGTTTTCGGGGGAAACCAGCTATTCGTAAATTATATAACCGCGCACATGCTGCCAGCTCGAAGTACTATGCTTCCGAATTACATTTCGGATACTTCCATCACGAGCAACGAGATCCAAGAAACGAACTTCACCGTTTCGAACTGACGGGATAATTTTTATTTGGAATTTTCTGTGTGCAAGAATTACTAAGAGATTCCAAAGTAATTCTGGAATAAAAATTCTAGACCGACTGTAGAATAATTCTAGAGTGAAACTTCGAAAGTTATGTCGGGAGAGATAGGGAGCGTAAACTTGGATGACACGTGCTTTCTCTGCCAAGTAGGGCCACGTGCAGAGAGTATTGCAACAGGGAAACCATTTGCCGATTCTTTTGTCTTCCAACGAGAGAGAGAAAACTGCAACTCCGAAGCTGTTTTATTCACAAAAAATCTAATCTTTGCCTTTTTCTAGAGTCAAAAAAGTATATAAGAAATTGATCAAGCCCTGTGCTGGTTATGCCAGTTATAAAATATCAAACGACCCGTCAGAGCTGTAAAGAGCAGTATTATCCCTTTACAACCCTTGGGATTCTTCAGCCAAACGTACAAGTTTCCGCTTACGCGACCTTTTTTCCCATCCTCAAGCTCACTGCTACTTTCCATTCTTACCCTCGAGTTCCACTTACATGTTTTCAAGTTTACAACGATTTGATACTGTTATGGTTATATAATTGTAAAGATGAATACCTGATAGAACTGAATGAAACTTCAAAGAGCAATTTAATGTTCGTTCGAAGCAAGTTATGCTCGTAGGGTAGATCTGAGATGGGTATCCAGTGTTTGACCCGGTCAGATAGAATTCTAACAAAGGCAAACAGATAATCCGTAGGGCCGTTAGGTGCATTTGAGAATGGCCGTGCAGAATATCTTTATATGTATGGAAATTCCGATACAGAATGCAAATGAGGATGAGCCCGGTATCACAATGAAATTCGAATTCCAATCGTCGTTTCAATTAAGTCGAAATTCAACCTATCCTAGAAATTCTATATTTCAGTTTATTCAATTTAACACATTGATATTAACGGTTGGAGAAAAGAAGACTTAAAGGGCGATATGTTGGTAGGTAAAATGAAGACTTTACGCCTGATATCAAAAGCAGAATACTCTTCGTCCATGTATTCCTATCATGAGGTTTAGTTTGAAAAAAAGGGAAACTTTTTCAGAGTTCTCGATCAAAGTGGTTGCCTAGGAACGTCTTCGATTGTCGTTAGCGAGCCACTTTTCAGCGAAATAAATTTCCAGGGCGCGAAATTACGGTCCCGATTGAAAAGTGTCGAACGTTGGATGGAGGAAAGTCGACAGGCGCGGGGTCTTACCTTGAGGTAGGACGGTGAGCAAAAGGACTATTTGGAGACCGGCGCTGACCATACAAAGCTTTATTCGCATCTGCGGCAGAGCTCTCGTCTGGTTTGCCATGGCGAATGAATTTTGCAGACTAGTCCAGGTCGACATCTCGTATTCGCAAGGGTCGACCACCCGATCTCGATCTCTGTCTCTTCCGGACGATCCTTGTCCGTTGTTCCTGCACTGCACAATTCCGTGCCACTTCTAGCTGCGATCACCGTCTCCAACGTCACCGGAGAACTCTGCGTAGCGCGCTCTTTCACTGATTAGAATCATGGTCAACAGTTCGCCAGTCACGCCGCGCATTTATCAACCGATCATTTCTACCATAACCCGTCACCACGGCGATCTATCGATCGATCTGTCCTCGTATCGACGCTCGAATTCTACGATCCTGGAAATAAGCATCCTCCCTTAATCACGGACAACCCTAACGCACTGCTCGAACGTTTCGTGATATTTTTCTAGTTGGACTAAAAATATTCCGTTCTATGCGGCGTTTCGGATCGATACTTTTCAAGAGGACACGTCGTTTAATCGCTGGATAATTAATTAAATCGCTACGTTGGATTCAGCGAGAACGCGAGAGCAAAAAGAAAAGTGTCTGCCATGTGCTTGACACGTACTACGCGATGCATCACCAAGAAATTAAATTACGTTTTAAAAATGTCGATTAAATACTTTCCACCGAAACTCTAACGTATTTCCTCGAAGTACGGTCTTTAGATAATTGCTAGAAAAATATCACGTGCCTCCACGACATAGAGAATACTCTGCGAGACGCTGTTCCCGAATTTCTCGAGAAATCAGATTGTCGTTTCAAAGATGTATCGATATGAAATGAATGAAAATATAGCCTGCAAAGTGTTACTGGAATAGAAACGTCCTTTAATAAACTCTGAAATGATTGGAAATTGAACTTTGAGCAAATACAATATTTCAAATTCGACCAGATGCTTTAAATAATTTGAATATTCTCTGAGACACTTGTCTTGAAGGTCGATAGTGGAAAAAATGACATTTTCCAGCGTTGTACGCGTAAAAGGTACACCGAGAAAGTTCCAATAGTGATTTCAAACATGTCGATACGAACGTACCTACAATTGCGTCCGGCATCTGTCGCTCGGTGCCATTTATCAATTACACGGGAACGTTCTAGTCTCGCGATCGGCTAGGCATGGAGCAAGCGCGTTGTTTAGAAAAGGGTTGTATGGAGGTTCGCGTGCGTAGAAAAGTATCGCGGTAGGTTCGCGGGCGTTGGATCTACGACGCTTGTACGAGGGAAATTCCCGTTGTTCTTTGGTATTTATCCAGCGAGCGGAGGCGTTCACTGGCACGGATACGGTATTCCACGAAGAAGATCCGCGACAAAGGTTCGTCGACCCGGTAGCTTTCGGTGCAAAGTGTTGGTCGATTCCATAAACGAATTCGGGAGGGGAGTAGATCGTCGCCTGGACGCAACGTTAACGACGGTTCCCGGGCACTGTTGTACGAAATCACGTTCTCGAGTAAGGCAGTTATGCTATCGCGATCCTTGGACGCACCGCGGGCCTGCGTTCGCAGCCTGATCGGCCGCGTGCATCGTCATCTTCGTTCCACTGGTGTCCACTGTATCCTCCATCCTTTCGAGTATTAGCACCACCTTCCACCTCCTTCGCTGCCTCCTACTTCACCGGAGCGCAACACGGTGTTGCCCGTATCCAGGCAACTTGGCCAAGCGTGCTGCTTCCTACCTTCTCTTTTACATCAAATGCCCTCCTCCGTGTTGGTGTTCACGATCCCGTAGCTCTGGCAGCTGCTCCCTGTATCCCCGAGCGAGTGCATCATCGTTTAGTCGTTGGCACTGTTCCTCCCCGATCGCATCCTCGCGACGTATCAACGCGACGTGATCTCGGTGTGTTGCCAGCGGGGCTGATGGTTCATCACTGGGGGGCAAACACGTTCTCGCGTACCCGTGGTACCGAGCATCCGACGTCGCACGCACCGGCCGCTGTCAGAAAAAAGTCAAGCCGGTGTGGCACGTTTACTGAACGACGGTTACGAACGAACAGGGCTACGCTCGTTGAAGCACTATCACACACGCGGCTACGTTACCGGGTGTCCTACAAGCAGGCGTACGAGACTCGCGGTAGACTGAGACAGCGGCCGAGAAGAAGGTGAAGCGGACAGAGGCGAGGCGTGTGCGCGGATAGAGCCAAAGGGGCAACAGCTAGGTAGATACAGCACCAGGGAGACAGAGAGAGAGAGAGAGAATGAGAGAGAGAGAGAGAGAGAGAGAGAGAGAGAGCGAGTGAAAAAGATAGAGAGAAGAGGGGGAGAAAACCGCCTCGTTCTGTGATCGGGTATCCAAACGGAACTGAAAGTACCCTGAAATAGGAGGCGGTCGGGGGTCGTGTACGAGCTGCCGGTCGAGCTCTCGCGACTCGCAGCTACCGCCGCGATATAGGCGCGAGGAAGGCTCTCCGCGATGGGTACAACCTTCCCTCCCGTCATCCCCTAACCATTCGCCACCCCTTCTCTGGCCGGAGCCCCCTACCGCTCGCGTTCAGTCCCACCACGATTTCGCGGGAAGCTGCGGACTGGACCACCACGCAACTAGCGTCCCCCCCACTCCCGGTACGGATACCAGCCGGGCGCCAGGGCGAGACAGAGAGGAACGATCAGAAGAGTAGGTGGCCTGGGGTGGAGGGCTCGAGGACACCATCCCCGAAGCCCACCCCACAGATCAATATTCTGCCCACCACCGTGTACCAGGAGAACTCTCTACCTTTCTTTCTCCTTCACCGGGATGCTGGGATCCTCGCCTCTCCCTCTCGACCGCCTTGCGAACCCCCATAGCTCGGCAACGTTGCCGCGCGACTTACAAGGTGTGCGTGCATCCCCTTCTCTACGCGAGGTGTATGGATTCATGCGTGGCCTCGGAACTACTTTTACATATGTACACGCGACTGTGTGCGCGTGTTCGTTACGTAGCGACAGTCGCGACCGATGCTCAAGCACGATCCAATCTCCCGACCAACGAGAATTACTCTCGCCTAGGGTCGAGGATCCTGAGACCGACGGCAGGATCGCTCTCTGTACCCCTGTGTGCCCGCTAAACCGAACGCTTTAAGTAGAACGTACCCGGGGTGACACGGTTCATGACCGATCGATCGATTTCCCACCTGTCTACGTTCAACATTACCCACGATACCGTTAACGAATTACCACCCACGTAGACGCCTCGATACCGAGTCGATTCCATTCGCCAACACCTTTCTCGCTAATTAATTTCCGAACAATAACGGAGGAACATCGAATCCTACCTGCGTACCCCTAGGTACTTGTTGCACACGAAACCATTCGGTACGAATCAAATTTAACGCGACTCGCGTCCTTATACGCGACGATAAAGTTTAAGTACGAGAGATATTAACGATCAACGATGCACGGGAATACGAAATTATACCAATTTTTATTTATGAAATGTTTTGTTGCATCGGCGTTGCAGTGCACTGTTTATCGACGGCAGTAATTAAACGTGATTAACTTGCGCGTCGTAAAGGCGCTTTTGTCAGAGTACTTGAATTATATTTTTTAGTTAGAAATTTTCATACAAAAGGTCTGAGTGATCTATCGAATTTTCAAACGCTTCGGAAATATTAAAATACCTTATTTTTAATAAAAAGAAATATTTTATATTCGATAGGAAAATTACAACATTCAACTTGGTTTTCAACTATTCGAAATATACAGAAGAATGGACAAATAAATTTCGAAATTGAATCCAAAATCTAATTTTCATTGCTTCCAATATTTAATCTTAATTCCAAACGCTACGAGTGCTAAATTCGAATTCCATTGTCAACCGATAACGTTAGAAGTGACACCGAAATGGTAAGAGGATAACCGACTCCCCACTCCATCGGAAAAATGCATTGCATGCAACTGTCATACCGACCGAACGATTCAAAGATGCATTTAGCGGCCTCTTCTCACGAATGACAGTCAGCTCGTAAACTATTCAGATGGTAAGCGGGTCATTGACCCCCCCCCACTCCATCTGACGGTAAAAAAGCATTGCAAGCTGACTGTCATACCGACCTAACGATGCAAAGATGCATTTGGCGGCCTCTTCTCATGAATGACGATAACTTACGAGAAAGAAGGAGAGTATGAACCTTTCCTTCTTCCTCTTGTTTTATTTATTTTATGTTAAATAAAGCACAACTCTACCTATAATGATCCAGTGCAGCTGATGTTGCGAAGAATCTTCTCCATCCAATTCAGCTGCTTTGCAATCTCTGGTCCACCAATCTGAAACAGAAACTCAAAAACAAATTAGAAACTGCTCTAAAGTTAAAAACAATCGCGATCGAATTCTCGTTCATATACTTGCAACGCGATTAATATTTGTATTTCGCAACGCTACTGCAAAACGCGATTAGTATCTGCACGCAACTCTACCCTGTAAAAAGAAACGCGAAAGATATTTGTGATTCGCAACTCTAAATGGAATTGTGATTTATATATGTCGCAACGCTATTTTAGAAGCAAACGCGATCATTTCTATTTCGAAATACTAAAAACAATAGCAAGAAAATTCATATTATATTTACAACGCGAGTAATTTTTATATTTCGCAACGCTACTGCAAAACGCGATTAGTATCTGCACGCAACTCTACCCTGTAAAAAGAAACGCGAAAAATATTTGTGATTCGCAACTCTAAATGGAACCGTGATTACTATTCGTCGCAACGCTATCCTAGAAGCAAATCGCGATTTGTCCAGAAGTACTGGATGTTGTACAAGTGTCACCTGAAAAACTACTAAATACTACAACTACGGGCGAATATGGTGAAAGAGAATGACTCTCCATCCTCATTCGAGAATGAAGATGAATAGCCATTTGTTGCAGCCCGCTCTTGCGACAGTTTGTCAGGGCCTCTTCGACTCCCGAGAGCCTCTTCTTTCTTCGGCGGTCCTGCCAAAAGCCTGAAACTTAAAACTACGCTCGAGATTCCGTGCAATGCGTTATCATCCAACAATATACGAATCGTTGGAAGACAATGCGTGGGAAGCCTCGAGCGGGGACGAGCGTTTCGGCGAGCCTATGTAACGCGATCGCGACCGCGACGAGCGATTCCAAGAATCGAAAGTGAAACCAAAACAAACGGATCCGCCTGTATTTGGCTATCGTTTCGACTCTCGAAATCTCCTACCTACTTAAATTTAAACACTCGCACCAGAAAATAAGTTACCTACCTACCTAACGCTAGATTTAAAAAATTGCAAAACCCATTCACGCAAACACACACTCCACGGTTCTCACGCATAATGTCCGGGCGCAAAAAACCTAAT